TTACAAAGGGATCAGCTGGTAAAGCCATTCTAAATAAAGCACCCCAGTTGGTGGCCAATTTTGAACTTCATCCCAAAGCCAACCCTAAGTCCAGAAAAGAAGGTCTGGTTCGTTTTCAGCAAAATCCTGAACCTAACTGGGGCCCCAAACCTATTGCAAAACCCCAAAACGATGAGGATGATGTAACCCCCCTAGAGAAAAGTCGAAGATTGCAAGGAAAGAGGAAAAGAAGGAGAGTGCAGGTAAAAGCAGCCTGTGTGTGTGTGTATGTAGTCGTTATTAAGGTACTTCTACCTTCAAGGTTTTATGGATGCATTTCTCTCAGTTGAAAAAAGAGATTTATGTAATATTTCCTTGTAATTCCCAATAAATAAGGCATTCACTATATTCGAGTTGCAAATGTTTTGTTGGCACATTTTGATTTGCTTGGATACTTTTGTGGAGAGACATTACAGGCCTTATGAATGGATTAAGCATTTACTAACACCACCTGCAGATCATTTAGCACAATCATCCATATTAACCACTTAACCCACAAATTAACCAGCACTACCAATGTGAATGAATGTTAGGTATTGCTTTGTTGGTGCTAAATAATTGTTCGGTGTAATCCGTTTACAAGGCCTGCATTACCTATGTCTTTCTGCATCATCACAATGCACTATTCACTGTTTACAACATAAATTATGGATAACCATCTCCAGGGGGCAAAATGTTCAGAAAATCTTTCTTTCCCAGAAATGAAAAAGATTTCCCTGATATTAAAATCATAAAAATGTATTTCTCTGGTTTTAAAATAGGTTATTTTTATAATGATGATAATAAATTATCAAGGAAAGATACAATATGACTCAAGGCTAGAAATTAACTTTAATAGTTAGTAGCAAATCTTACTTAAAAGTTGAAAGTTTCAATGAATATTATTAAGGTCCTATCGGTCTATGTAGATCAATCCAACTGCAGGGACTCTTTGCTGAGTGCAAACTGCTTAAATAATTGAGTGACACGCCACCAGCTGGCCTTTAAGTAGAATACATTAAAAGAGGTTATGGATGATAAACATTTATGCTTGTAGTAGTGAGCTAAGTAATGCAATTCCAGTTGTCTAGTTGAGTTGGTAAAATTGTGTCTTTCACCATTGTAGGAAGTGAAAGTGATTGACTACAAGAAGTTTCCCTGTAAGAAGAACCAAGAGGGGTTGTGCACACTTGGTGAGGATTGCAAATATTCCCACGATAAAGACAAGGTGGCTCGGCAGGAGGAACACATGGAGGTGGTTCAAGGTTGTTTCAGTGAGGATGCATGCAAATAAAATAAGAATGATAACTATGCAATTTTTCTTGTTCAAGTTGCTGTCTAACCACAAATAAATACTAGTCATTGGTATAATTGAGCAGAATTAGCACTGATGATATTAACTTGCTATTTGGAGAAAAGTGGAATGCATATAGATGTAATTAGGCCTCTATAATTTATAAATTAATTAGTATAAAATTTGTAATAACATGTACAGTTGACTATACAAGATTTCCTAAAGTATATGTACAATTAATAGATGGAAACAAGTTGTATACTTTGACTACAAAAATGGGTATCAAGACAAAATAATTCGAGTAAAAATCTAATATTTCAGTATATAATTTAGGATGTTTAGATTTTGAACAAAGAATAAAACATAAATAAAACATCTTAAAACGAGTATTTTTAGCTCAATTCTTTTTCTTTTTAAATGAATACACAGATTATTCCACTCCACCAGTGCAGCTGTACAAAATGCTGTCACCATGTTTTTAACCTAACTTTGGGAGTGTCATTAACTTTGTCACCAAAAGTCGAGTTCATTAAGGATTAAGATTAACAAAAAAAACATTGCCATTTGGTATAGTTTAGAACTATGAATCATTTTTTTTTTTTTCAGAAACTGTTTAGATGGGGAGGGGGGGGGGTTCACTGCCTGTTAATGAACTAATCTATGCTTACGTGGGTTGTACTTAAAAAAAGTGGCAACAAGCATCATACCAAAGAAAAAAATGACCAGCATTCATACAGGTGTCCCACTGTTAAGATACGGGTTCTTTTTCTCAACCCAACTATTTTTAATATGGAAGTAATGCACTCTTGACAATCTTTGTGACATGTGGGACATACCAAACAGGTAAGAAAATGGATAAATGGTTCACAGTTTGCATTGCGGTGCTCACAACCACTATTTTTTATGTTCGCATCTTGAAATTGCAGTTTGAGTCTCCGATTCTGCCTTTGCAATCATAAACCAAAAGCTCTAGATCATTAACAGCTATTCTAAGACCTGAAGACAGAAAATACCACGAACAGAAGAAAAAAGCTTTTTATTAAGAAAATCAATTTGAAAGCATTCTCATTCTGGTACTCAATCTGCCATTTAATCACATAAATCTCCCTAAAAATGTTTAAGTAAAACAATTATTTAAGTTTGGCACTAATATTGCAAAATCGAAATATACATGCAAAAAAGAAAAAAATTCAATTTATTTCATAAAAATGATCAGCTGATTTCGTCTTTTAGTTAAACTGCCTTGTCAATAAAAGACAAATTTACAGTTTGGCAATTACAGGGTGAACAAATGTGACAGAATCACAGTTACAGCAATGAAATGAACAAACACAGATGATCAGAATATACAATAACACATTTCTAATATACAATTGCTATACCTGTTTATAAAAATCTATCAATTTGGAAATACGCTGAAAACGTCACAAACCCAACACGTACATTAAACTTGAGTTAATATTTGTATCAAAATGCAATATTTATAAAATGGTGACAAATGCAGAGAAATAAAGCATAAAATAAAGATGATGGTACACAAAGAAAATAATTGTATGAAGATACCCACAACCTTACAGAGGCCTCTCATGCCCAGACACACTGCACTGGGTATCTGGTGCTGATAACCAATAAGCAAAGTATAACTTTTAGTATACGGGACTATCATGACCTCTCAATCAAGTCTCACTGATATACATTTTAGGGCACCCATTTTATGTCACAATTTTAAAAATGCAGTGTCAGTTTTTCAAGGTCCCTTGTGTGCACTTCAGGGTTAACCACAGATCAAGTTCTTCCATGCTAAATATGTGTGGTGGCCTACAGAAATGACATTTGCCTTAACACAAAACATACATGTTGGCTTTATCTATTTCTCATAATAGAAGCACACCCATTACGTACATGCATAATTGAACGCACATGTTTTGCACATGAGCTAAGGCACAACAATTTACATAACCAGAAGTTTTTAATCAATGTCATGGCAACTCATAATAACATGATATTGTTACAGTTACTAATTGAAGCATGGCATCACAATGCATCAATTTGACAAAAGGAATTGTTTTTGCATAAATATATAGTATGTTTGTCTACTTTCTAAGTGGAGTAGATTTACAAAATTCTTTCATTTGATATGACAAAGTGCCTGGTCCATTATTTTCCACAGTGCATTTGAGCAACAGTTTATTTACATTAATTTCTGATTACATTTAAACTTTTGAAGATCATCAGCAGTTTTGTTAAATGGATAATAACTCTTCACATGAGATTTGAAATTCTCCAATAAATACATTGTAAACAACAAAGAAATATAATAAATTTCATTTTACCACCAAAATGGTGATTAGCACAATTCTCAAATCTGAGTTTGCCATCGGACCAAGGAGACCTTCTAGATGGTTACCCTCCCTAATAATCTCTTAAAAGATTTTACAAATACCACACAACTGTCGTTAATCGTAGGAAAATCCCTTTTATGGCACTTTTCTTTGACAAAATAAAGTTGTTACCCCCCCCCCCCCTTTTAAATCATCCTTTCCCCCTATTTTCCTACACTAACAGATAAATGGAAAATGCTCTACTATATTATATAGGAAATGTATACAATTTTTACATCTTGGTTTTAAATATAAATATATTGCACTTCTTGCTAAATGGTTGCAAAAAGCCTTAAAAAGAATAACAAGGCAGCAAAGCTGTCAAATGTACAGACAAAAAGCAGGAAATAACTATGCACAAAATAGGCTACTGTCAATTCTGATGCAAAAGTACATTATGTTAAACTGCAAATTCAACATCAAATTTTAATTATGCTCAACAGGTAATACCAATGTAAGTAAAATGTGTAACAAGCATAAGGCTTCAGGCCCATGTTCACACTTTGAAAATGTATAACTTCCAGAAAAAGAAGCCAATTAGACTGCTTTTCCAACTCAGGCTGCATTTTAGTCCTGTATTTCTTTTTTGAACGTTTGGCAATCATCAGTAACATGGTTTTCCCATAATGGTCATCATGGCAGCAGCACCCAAAATTGTGTTTTCTTCTATTCTGATGCAATATTACATAATGGTTAACAGCATAATNGAATTGAATCTGAGGAAATGTGAAAAAACAGCATAACTTATAAAATAATGGTCCGATTATGCTGATTTTCGAACTTGACCTGCGTTTTAGTAAGATTGATTACTCCTGTGAGTTTCATGACAACAGGCCTATGGGTTTTCCTTGAAATGTGTTAACAGTTTTGCATATATGCTGAAAAGTGAAAAAACAGCATAACTTATAAAATAATGGTCCGATCATGCCGATTTTCGAACTTGACCTGTGTTTTAGTAAGATTGATTACTCCTGTGAGTTTCATGACAACAGGCCTATCAGTTTTCCTTGAAATGTGTTAACAGTGTTGCATATATGCTGAAAAGTAAAAAAAAACAGCATAAATTCTACAATAAAGGCCCGATCATGCTGATTTTCGAACTTGACCTGCGTTTTATGAATATTCATCAGCTCTGTAAATATAAAGCCAAAAAGTAAAACTGTCTTCCACTTATGGTGTTAACGCTGAAAGTGCACGGCGACATGATCGGCGACGGCGACGGCGACGGCGACGACAGACGCAGGTGATGGCAATATGTACAGACACATCTGTGTCTGTACATAAAAAAAATTGGGGGGAAAAGTTTAAATATTCAGCTGCATACATAGCAGTCTTTGTGGTAAATCTGGGTCTTTCACGCATCTCTCCATTTTTGTACAGAATGCCGCTCTCACTAACACCATATTGTAACACGTCTGAGGAAAACCTGTCACACAGTGACAATATTGTTTTTATGTGCTGCTTTTCACTTATCAGTAAGTAGGTGGGATATAGCCGCCTTGTGCTGGTGGAGCATAGGCTGAAACAAATTCACATATTTAGAGACACAAGAGTAGTAAAAAGGAAAGCTGAATATAAAATTTAAGTGAGAAAAATTGGAAAAATGCATTTCATTGTTGATTGCTATCTATTGCACCACCTGTGTGGGGCAATGAAAAAAAAAAGTTCATTTTAATGCAAGCCAACTGTTAATACATTTTTTCAAAGCAATGTGCTCTGAAATGAAAGAGAATTCTCTGAATGTTTGACAAGCCACTTACGAGGCGGTTGCTGAGCATATCCCTGACCCTGACCATATGCCATTTGTTGCTGAGGAGGATAATATGGCTGCTGTACCGGTTGGGGTGGGTAATATTGCTGTTGTCCTGGTTGAGGTGGAAAGTATGGCTGCTGTCCTGGTGGTGGTGGGCCTGCAAATTATAAGACTTGAGGGTACTGACAAGGTTAGACAAAAACTTCTTGATTATGATGATGACAAGTAAGAGTCTTTGAGTACATTTTGGATAATAGATGGATATTCAGTGTTCACTGACTAAATTCCTTTGCATTTACATAAATGTCATTTTACTATTGATGTCAAAATTGTGATTTTTAGGGTAAAAATTGCAAAATTTGATTTGTCAAACTTCTTCTTTACCTGAGCACCCCCACAAACATCGTTGCAACATCAATTTAATGTTAACGCTGAGTACTTCAAATCCCTGCCAGTGATTTTTCTTAAAAGCCTTAGTTCAGAATTAATGGTTGATATGGCAAAATAATACCTTTGTTCATCACTACATTGTAATTAGGGGCTCATAATTCTCACAAAAACATTTTGACCAAAATGACGGTGCAAGATTGAAGCCCATATACTGAGGGTCACCTATGCCAATTTTTTGTGAAAAGATCTTTTTCAGGGATGGACTGTCCGACAGGAGTTATGCCCCATGCCATTTGCTATCTCACCTCGAAGTAACACAAGAGAATTGCCAACACGTTCACTTACTTTGATATGTGACAACAGTTTTGTCCATTTGTCGCTGCCTCCTCTTTCTTAAACAATATACCAGAACAATCACGCCAATGATTATTAATACTATTGCTCCAACAGCACTCAGTAAACCTTTCATTAAACCCATGTTTTGTGTTTTTTCTCGTTTCTGAAAAAAAAAAAAAAGACAATATAGTAAATAAAAATAATTTATAATAACTCATATTTGGCTCACATGTTCACCTGTATTTTAAAAAGCTTTGGCGCCTTCATCCTATGGTTTGAAGCGCCAGCCATGGGATAAATCAGTTAACTATTTGTTGTCCACTGTATGTGACATACAAGTCATTTAAATATGTCAACTGCACCTCGATTTAATTATGCTCTTGTACGTCACATACACCGGACGACTCGTGTTGAAAATAGTATTAAATAAGCAGATTAAATATATATGATATTATGAACTGATAGGATATGATATGCTCTTGTGATATGATATAGTGTGCCAATAACATCTGCTATAACTTTAGTTTTTATGTTATGCTCTTCAATTATGTTGTCTTCTTACTTTCAAATTAATGAGTCTCTTAAGAAAGTAGTAAAAAAACAGGCATGTTTTGAAGTAAGTCAATTATCTCACCAAGGGTCTTCTAAGTTCTATTTACACAAAAGAAAGATGCTAAACATTGAAAATATAGAGCTGAAAATAAAGTCAAAATGACGAGGACTGGACTATGGAAAATTCCAATATTATTCAGGATATTTCAGGATTCTTGATATAAAGGGAATATGCAGCTGATTATCATCCATGTTTATGTGAAGTCAATTCCACAGATGCATGTGATTTCACCAAGGGCTAACTGTTTAGATACATCACGGACAAAACCGTTATTATGTCCAAGGATGCATATACTAACTGGAGAGGACCTAGTACACTTCCTTGTGAAACACCATGTACTACTAGGTCTGAAAGACCAGACAAAATTACTTCAAATGACGCCTGTTATGTCCTGCCATTCAGTTAGAAGGGAAGATCAAAGGCTTTTCCTTTGATCCCGATGTTCTCCTATAGGAAAGTGAGAAACAATTGATGGTGACAAGTAAGAGTAATGGGGCAATTAGAACCATCAAAGAACCGTTGGAATAATATCTGAACATGTAACACGGTTATCTGAATAACTGAAAGTTGTAACTTACAGTCTGTAAACTTATGTCCTGACAAAATGGTTCCTTTTGCTGACTTAAAAGTTACATGCGCATGCGTTATGACTCACTTATTTGCCACTGCTTACAGTTATTTGCGTTGTTGACGCTCTGGCTCAACAGACGCAGTATTTCACAACACCGAGGCAGAATAAAGGTTTGCTCAGCTACTACAATCTCCAGGCACTGCAACAGCACCGCGTGCCAAAATAGCACCTGTGATGCTTCAGCCGTAGCTCCGGAGGCAGTGCCCTTGTTCTTGTAATTTTTTTTTTTTACTGATGATTTATTCATTTGGTGTCCGCTCTTAATAAGGGACGAGGACGGGAGATAACTATTTATTATTGTCACGAAAAACAAAATTTGAACTGTTAAAAACTATTTTTAATTCATAACAGAGCAGTCAAGATCCCCACAACTCCAGCTAGGTAACACACCTTGGATGTTATGCAAACTGGCAAACTCGTCAAAATAAAGTAGTGTGCGTGTTTTTAACAAAAGCACTTTAAAATATTCAATGACTCGGTCAGTTTGAAGAGTCCTGCTAAATGTCAAAAAAGCTTTAAACCTGCTATAAATAAATAAATAAATAGAAATCAATACGGATCCCTTAATTGTTTTCGAACAAAGTTTAACACTATAACTGTGCCACTTTAAATTCTAATCTTAAATTTTGTAGGCCTATTGACTTGCAAAAGTCCCATGTGTGGTTCACTAATGTTTTCTGTCATAAATAATCTTTTAGTAATATCAAGGAGTTTCAACAGTTGAAGTTCCTTGGTAATATTATATTCTAACCGAATATTATATGTTTCAAGTGGAAGTATAGGTATTTGCGTAAATTCAAGTAACGCACCCGAGCAGATTGGTTTGATGCTGTTCCTTTCTTAGATTTTCGTGTTCATAAGTAGGCCTTATTCGATCATTCTTTTCCTTGCGCCGGTTGTATTCAAGTTGAAGACGAAAGTCATTAGATCCAGGTAATTTGTTGTTGCTTCAGCCTTTTTTTCTAAAAAAAGAAACACGCACTCACATTTATATTTTGTTACCTCTATAACTATAACATGTACATTTCTGACCCGCACATACACATACTAACACAATTTTATCTTTTTAATTCAACATGAACATATCCCACTACACACTTACACACATATATCAATCATTATGAGTTGACATTAAAAACTTCGCGTTGGTTCAAATGACCAGGGCGTTTTATTGGTTCCTGCATGACATGACCGCTGACATCACCAATTAAGTAGGCTGGCATCTATGATATTTAAATGGTAGCAATACTTTATTTAAACATTCTCAATGTAGAATGCGCAATGGCGGATCCAGAATTTTGCCAAGGGAGAGGGGGTCACAAAGATAATCTTTTTAATAGACGAGAATTGATTTATTTTTTTGTGACACCAGAAGCATTAATTTTTAGACTCACCTTGTAGACTGTCTGCATCCACAGATTTGTTGAACAATTTTATACAAATTAAGGTGAATTCATTTGTTTGATTTTCTCATATTTGTGTTTAGGCGGTAACGAAGTGATAATTTTTATTAAGCAGGTTGGCATTGCATGACATCGCTTAAGCTGTCATGTACAATCTTCATTTATCACTCAGCTGACGTTTACTGCTCCCTTGGCAACGTAGGCCCGGGGTAAACCCACGAGGCTGTGGTCTGTTAGCTGGACCTCGCAACACAATCCCCTGACGCAATACCATAAAGAGATGGTACTTGGGTCGTAAACTCTATACCGTAAGGAATACAAACCGCGAACATATTTTCTCAAGTATAATTATGCAAATTATATTGATGAGTTTATAGCCGAGGAGAGCTTGAAAACATAAACAACTAGAAAAGGACTCAGAGAGCGCAACCTCCGCCAAGACAAACAATTAAGTAATAATTCA